CGGTTGCCAGGCAGGTGTGGTGCCACTGAGCTAAATCCCCAGGCCCTGAGGAACTGAATTTGAATTTTAAATTTCATGTAATTTAGATGTAAATTGTTTTACTCAGTAAATATATACAGCCTTTACTTGTCAATTTAAAAAAATTAACATAAAATTTAAGCAGTTGCACGGGTTTAAAAGCTACTGTCCTAGCCACCATGGGCTATTAAGATGGTCAGATCCATGATGGCAGATGAGATGTTTTTACGCTACTCTTGTCCATTTCTCTCTCTCTTTTTTTTTTTTACTGTATGAGTTTTCTTTTTTTTTTGTCAATTTCTTTTTAATAAAAGTATTTTAAATGAGCAGTAAATATGGAGAGAGCCACAAGAACGAAGATATGAGCATTATATAAGGGCTGGGGCCATGGCTTAGTCGTAGAACACTGCCCTACCATGTTCCCAGCCCTGGGTTCAATTACTGATACCACCAAAAATTTAAAAAAATTAGAAAGGACATGAGCTTTAAACAGGAGGGTCATCATAGGTCGCCGGCCTATCATATATTTTGGAAGGAAGTAGAAGAGAGAAGCTCAAAGTTTCCAAACATAATGATAGAGGGATGGAAATGTACACATAAGATAGAAGCTCAAGGGCTGGGGATTTGCAACTGCAAGGTCCTGAGTTCCATCCCCAGTACCAAAAAAAAAAAAAGATAGAAGCTCAATAGCATAATGACTGTGTGTGTGTGCATGCGCACGTGTGCATGTGTGCAGTGTACCTTTACACTGAGCTACATCTTCGGCCCACTTTTTATTTTTTGTTTTGAGACAGGGTCTTCCTAAGTTGCTAGGTGGCCCAGGCTGGGTTTGAACTCTCAATCTTCCTGCCTCAGCCTCTCAGAGTGCTGGGATTGCAGGCATGCGCTACCACAAACTGGCAAGATATCAGTTCTGTAATAAACTCATACAAGGTTTTGTAATCTTAAAAATATATGAGAGGAACTTTGACTATCACAGGTGAGGCCTAAGCAAGAGAGCGAGTACTACTCTAGTGATTTTTTCACAACAGAAACATCTAATGAAAACAAAACCCAGAGTTTATTCAAACAAGCTGCTTTAATGTAAGAAGTCCTACGTGGTACTCAAGACATCTCTAAGACATGAAATAGCTTGCAAGGTATTTCTGTATACTCTATTACCCCAATGTATTTAAAAATTTCCCCGATAGATCTTTTAAACAAATGCATCAGGAAGAGCAATAATTCACTGATGCTATGGAACAGCAGCAGTTCTCAGTATTGTAAAGGATTCCTACACTTTGAGAATATTTCATTATAAGCCAGGAAAGAAACATAAAGTTGTGATTTCTGTAATTAAAAATCAATTTCTTGGGGCCGGGGATTTAGCTCAGTGGTTTTGCCACCTGCTGCGCAAGCGCAAGGACCCGAGTTCGATCCCCGGTACCAAAAAAAAAAAAATCAATTTGTTTTCTATTTCTCTATGCCAAATTTCCCTTAATGAGTCTCCAGGTGGCTCTCATCCAAAGAGGGGGTACAGGAGGCTCCACCATTCTAAAAGGACCTGTGTTAGCTGAGGCTCATAGCACTGGGGAGCTGTACACATCCTTGGGCAAAAGGGAAAATGCTAACAAACCTACTCTGAACACCACCGTTCTTGAGCATGTGGTCTGAAAATGTGGTGTCTTACTGAAAGTCACTCAAAACTTTGTTTAAACAGCTGGGTATGGTGGTGCATGATTGTAAGTAATCCCAGCACTCTGGGAGGCTGAGGCAGGAGGATTGCAAATCCAAGCCCAGCTAGGGTAATTTAGCAACTTAGAGAGAACCTACCTGAAAATAAAAAAGAATTGGGGATATAGTTCAGTGTGAAGGTCCTGGCTTCAATCCCCCAGTACAAATAGATGAATGAATAAATAAATAAACAGGATGAACTGGGGTATAGCTCAGTGGTGAAGCACTTGCTCAGCACGCAAAAGGTCCTGGGTTCGATCCCCAGCACTGCAAAATAATCAGAATGATAATGTCAAAATAAAAACAAAAAAGGCCACGTTTTACTTTTTTCGAACACAGGTATCTTTTTGCTTTAAATCACCATCTGTAGGTATTGGATGAAAGAGTTATGATCTTGAACAGTCTGACGCCTTATACCCACTGAAGTTAACACCCTACACTGACGTGGGTTAAATCCAGCATTTTTACATTTAGGTTTTACTTAAAAACTTGAATAAACCAAAATAGCTAAAAAACATCAGGCCTTCCCAAAGACGCAACCTCCCTAAGCGAACATGTTGCGCCCTCTTGTGGCAAATGTGAGCTTCGCACGCACAGACGCAAGGGGCTGCTTTCCAACCATCCGTTTCCCCCAAATTAAGCAGTGGCAGAATTAGGATGCGGGGCCGGGGATTTAACTCAGCGGTGCCGCTGCCTGCCTCGCAAGCGCAAGATCTCGAGTTCGATCCCAGGCACATACACACACACACATACACACACACACACACACACACACACACACACACACACCCTTCCAAAAATAGAAATATCTGGATGCACACTGTCCCACAGTAGCACCTGCTTCTGGATTCACCTTCACAGGGAAGTGAGAATGTTCCACTGAAACAAAATTTTCCCAGGTTAATAAAGGTCCCTCCATAAACTGACTATCAGGCATTCTTAGACATTTAATCTCATCAGCCAACTTAAAACACAACATGAAGCTGGGCACCAAGATGCATGCTTGTAATCCCAGCATTCTGGAAGGCTGAGGCAGGAGAATCTCAAGTTAGAGTCCAGCCTGGGCAACTTAGTGACTTAGTGAGACTGTCTCAAAATAAAGAATAAAAAGAAGCCTGGAAATGTAGCCCAGTGAGAAGATCTTGGCACTAATCTTCAGTATCAGAAAAAAGAACAGCTGGGCATGGTGGGACATGCCTAGAATCCCAGCACTCAGGAGGCTGAGGCAGGAGGACTGCTGCAAGTTCAAGACCAGCCTGAGCTATGTAGTGAGACTCTGTCTCAAAACAACAACCAGAAAAGGGGGTTCTTTAGTCATCCCAATATCTGAATGTATCTGTGCATGGGGTTTAAACCCTAGACAGTGTTTAGGCAGGTGCTGTAGTCTCCATGACTCATCCACAGCAAACTTGACAGCTTCGTGCTTTTTCTGGGTTCTCCTTCTCCCTCCCAACAAATGAAAACCAAAGTCACCATCTATTACAAGGCACAGTAGCAAAGAGCTGGATTCACAAGTGATGGAGATCAGGTCTGAAAGGGGAATCCCAACCTTCTACCACTTATATATCTGTTTCCTATTATCTTTTATTTTGTTCTTTAAATTATGAGTTTCTGATATAAGAGAAACCATGTGATACTTAAGCCGTGTCTCTGATTTATTTCACTTAACATTATGGCCTCAAGGTGCATCCATTTACCTACAAATGACTCAAGTTCATCCTTCATTATGGCAGAGTCCATCTGAACTTCAGAATACACAGGAATTTACACTAAAATGTTTCACACTATTTATAAAATCAATGGTCATATAAGAATGTTCTATTTAAATACAAGTTTCTTAATTTACTTTTTATTCACCACAGGTTTGTAACTTCCATAACAATTTCAAGACTTCATCATTCAGTACAATGTCCAATAAAAAAGAAAAAGATACTATGATTTCCAAATGTGATAATCAATACTTTGCATTATGCATTGTTTCTAAATTTAAAATGAGTGTGCTGTTCAACCTTTTAAGGGAAGAATGGTGGAAAGCATATAAACTTAAGAACTCGTTCTCTTTGAGTGACTTCTTTTATAATTCAATTATGGATATTTATCTGGAGGGGTTTTTTTGTTTTTAATCACCCAGGGTCTTGCTCTGTAGCCCAGGCTGCCCTCAGACTTGCTGCAATCCTGCCTCAGCCTCCCAAGTGCTGAGACTACAGGGGTGCGCCACTTCGCCCAGTTTAAAATATCTTTCTGTACTAATCATTTCAAAAATAAAAATGTGCCTTTACAGTCATAAAACTATAGGCACATTTATCATCAGTTTCTCCCTAGAACTTTCCACAAGAGAGGGCATCTTCAGACAGGAAACCAGACCAACAACAAAGGGAAAATCTGTCTTGAACTCTATCTGCCTAAAACAATTGTGAAGAAAAAAGTGTGGACTCTCCCTCAAGATCACCTGTAGAAAGCACATTCTTCTAAAATAACCATATGAAAACGTTTTACATTTCCCAACATTTGGTACAACAGGGAATTCTTTACTTTTTCTTAGCTATGAGTTGAACATTTATATACTATACTTGCAATTTACAAAAGAAATAAAACAGTTCACAAGTCACGGAAACTTCCATCCCAAAAGGGGAAAAAAAGGAAGTAAAAGGAGTGCTTGACAAGAAACCAGGTCCCATTTTGAAACACTGGTGTCTCCATCTCATTGCATAACCCCCCAGTGATCCCGGAAGGGAGGGTGCTCAGTCCGGATGGCGTCATCGGGCAGCGCTGGAGGCAGCTGTTTAGCAAGGGCACCACACACCCTCCCGCAGGAGCACAGCACAGGCCTTGACTTCAACCCGGGGGGAAAGCCAGCGCTTTCCAATCTACCTTCCATTTGGCTTGGTTTGGTTTTTCAAGACAGGGTCTCATCTGTACTCCAGGCTGGCCTTGAACTCACAGTGTAGCTTAGGTAGCCTGGCACATTGTTTTTCAAGCACTGCTTCTGGTCTTGTGTCAGCAACCCACTTTGCCTGGTGCTAAAGGATGTATGAGTAAGCCAGGCACAGTGGCACACGACTATAATCCCAGTACTCTGGGAAACTGGGGAAGGAGGATCAAAAGTTCAAGTCCTACCTGGGGAACACAGCAAGACTCTGACTCAAAAAAAAGCCCGGGGATGTAGCTGAGTGTGAAGACCCTGGATTCACTCCTCAGTATCCCCCCCCCCACACAAAGTAAGTACTGGGAAGATGATGACATTAATAAAAAGACAAGAAGCAAGAGTATACATGTTAAAATAAGACATTTATTATGCTAAACAGATTTTATCCTCCATTTTCCCAAAACACTAAAATAGCACACACAGCATAGTAATTTAACACACAATACAAAGTGATATATGCACTCATTCCCAAAACGACTATTTTAAGCTTCACTTTGGGAGTCCTTAAAAACTTACACTCTTAAATGATCTTTATTAAAGTTATCAACAAACAAGTTACTTCAGAAAAGTCTTAGTGTGAAAGAGACCTCAACTCCTTGGGTCTGGGAACTTTTGTAAGGGAAAATACTTGATCTGCCTCTATATCTGAGCTACAGCACAGTCAAGCTCCTTTTTCTTAGGGTAACACTGCTAGGAATCCTAGTTTGAGAAGATTATTTTACCTTTTTTGGTACTGGAGATCGAACTCGGGTCCTTGCGCTTTTGAGGCAGGCGGCAGAACCACTGAGCTAAATCCCCAGCCCCCTTGAGAAGATTATTTTAAATTTAATATTGCAACTTTCACCATAGGGCCTCCACTGAAACTGCATTTCAAGCAGAAAGGAGCGTGAGAAGTCAAATTTGCTGCAGACCGAAATTATTCTATAAAATGCAGAAATAGTAACAGCTCACCGTGAACTCAACAAGGCTTCATAAAAGTACAGCAGGTAAACTTTACAAATATCCACTTCCATTTGGTGACAGGACAGCTAAAGAGACAGACAGTGTCTGGAACAGTAGCCCTTTGGATTGGGTATTAGAGACAAAGAACTTCACGATAAGCCAAATTCCCAGCTGATATTATACTGAACATATTAATCTCCTGAAAGGGTTCCTGATTCTTTGTCTTTCAAGTACAATTTAAAACATGCTCAACAATTTCTTTCTGCATTACCTAGCTTTTAGCGAGTTTATACTAGACTTGTACTTTATAAAGTTTGTCAAGCAGTACAAACCAAAGCAGGAACTGAATGGCTGCTTTGTTTGGATACAGACTTAATGCAAAACAATCATTCTAAGACAACGTTTAAAATTAAGCTACTATTTTTATTGTTCTGCTTGTACCTTAACCATGGCCTATGGGATTTGCTAATTTCAAAGGTCATAGAGGCAACAACCCCAGTGTTACCCGCAGACCACTGGAGGTACAGTTTATACTTGAAAGCATGTTCCTGTATTCTCTTGTCTGCTCTGAGGGCACAGGCTTTAGCTGGTCAAGGTGGTCACATCTTGTAGCATCCCTCAGGAGGCCTTGAGGATGGGCGTGTGGTGTTTCGGGTAGCAGCAGGGGACACACGCAGGACAGTTCCAGGGCAGAGCCTGGCCCCTCGAGAGGAGCCCTTAGCGGGTCACTCTTGGAAACTCCTGCTTCCCGAAGCTGCATGTGGCCCGGCCACGCTGAAGCACAGGGCTCTCCCCTGCAGCACTGTCCTCCGCGGCTGTCCGGGTCTCTGGGACCTCCTCCTGGCCAGTCCCTCTGCTGAGCTGCCCTGGCACCTCGGGACAGTGCAGCAGGGCACTCTCCTATGGGGACAGATGCAGGGACCGGGGACAGACCCACAGCCTTGCTGGGAACTGCTGCCACAGCTGACTTTCTTCCCATGGATCCCTTCCAGTACAGAAAGGCCCTGTTGCTGGGAGGAAGCAAGAGCCCAGCCTTCTTCAGATTGGCTTCCGCTTCCCAGGATAGCGCCTCGCTCTGCCTATCTCCATCTCCATCTCCGTCGGAAGGGGAATCTGTGGGGCAAGGGCTCCCCTTCAGCGCACTCCGCTCGAGGCTGTGTGGCAGTCTATCCGGGTCCTCTCCTCCCTCTCCCGTTGCTTTGGCTGTGCAGGTGCCGAACGTCCTTCTTCTGTCCCTCATGCTTTGTGTCCTTTGCGGTGGTGAGCCCAGGGTAACACCTCTGTCAGGAGGGGACGGCCTTCAGTGGATCTCAATATGAACCTGGAAAAGAGAACACATTAAACTCCACAGCAAAGAGAGGTGTTGTAAGACTGGACGCGCCAAAGATTTCTCTAAGGGAATCTCTACCAAGGGTTCCTAGGTTAGCATAGAGGACGGGATAGCGGACAACCCGAATCATCTCTACTTATTAGAGATGGTAACAAAAAGAACAGCGTGCTTGGGCCGGGGATTTAGCTCAGTGGTTGTGCTGCCTGCCTCGAAAAAGAACAGTGTGCTAGTAATGCAGTATTTCCTAAAAATAAAAGCAGACTAGAGGTTGTAGCTCTGCGATACAGGGCCTGCCCAGCATGTGAGGGGTCCTGAGTTCATTTCTAACCAGAACCACACACACACACACACACACACACACACACACACACACACACACACACACACACACACACACACACGGCACAAATTCTGAGAACTCACACTTTTCACACCGATCTGACTTTAAGCCTGGCATGGTGGCACATGTCTGTAATTCCAGCTCTCTGGGAAGCTAAGACAGGAGGATTACAAATTTAAGCCCAACCTGGGCTTAGCAAAAGCCTGTCCCAAAATAAAATTAAAAAAAAAGGGTTGGGGATGTAGCTCAGTGAGAAGGCCCTAGGTTCAATTCCCAGTATGTGTGTGCGTGTGGGGGGGTGTCTTCCCTTTAAATGGAACATAATCAGAGGGCCTTAACCAAATTGTCCTATTTAGAAATGATTCTTGCCAGCATTTGTAATTGGTTGATTTCTTGATAGCAGCCATTCTTTCTGGGGTGAGGTGGACTCTCAGTGTTATTTTCATCTGCATCTCTCCAATGACCAGTGATGTTGAACATTTTTTCGTATGTCTATCTGCTGCTTCTACTTCATCAGAGAAATATCTATTCATTTCAGAAGGCTATTTTTGGACTGGGTCTTTAAATTTGGGAGATCCGATTTTTTTTTAGTTCTTTGTATGTTCCAGATAGTAGACCTCTGTCTGAGGAACAGCTGGCAAAAAAAATTTTCCCACATTGTAGGTTGTCTCTTCATTCTGCTGGTGGTTTCTCTTGCTGTGCAGAAGCTTTTTAATAAGATGAGATTCCTTCTCCACTGTTGGTGGGAGTGTAGACTGGTGCAACCATTGTTGAAATCAGTGTGGAGAGTCCTCAAAAAACTAGGATTAGGGCTGGGGATTTAGCTCAGCCGGCCTCACAAGTGCAAGGTCCTGAGTTCATTCCCCAGTATTGGAAAAACAAACAAACTAGGATTAGAAGTCCCATTTGACCCAGCTATTCCCATTGGGTATCTTCTCAAAAGAATTAAAAATATCATACCACAGTGATATATGCATACCCATGTTTATAGCGGCACAGTCTGTAATAGCTAAATGTTGGAAACTGCCCAAATGCCCATCAACTGGTGACTGGATAAAGATGTGTTTTTTTAAAATAAAATGAAGGGCTGGAGATTTAGCTCAGTAGTTTTGCCGCCTGCTGCACAGCGCAAGGACCTGAGTTCAATCCCCGGTACCAAAAACAAAAACAAAAAAAGAAAAGATTTACACAAGTCAATTGTGGTGAGGTTTGCCTATAATCCAGCTACTAGGGAGGCTGAGGCAGGAATATCACAAGTTTTAGGCCAGCCTAGAAAACTTAGTGAGACCCTGTCTAAAATAAAAGTTTAAAAAGGTCTATGGTTGTAATCCCTAATACCACCACCACAAAAAAAAAAAAAAAGAAAAAAAGGCAACACAATACGAAATGAAATTTAGAGATACAGAAGCAAACAGTGAGAGACGCAGCTACAGCTGAAAGTAGCTGGCTACAAGGATGGAGAAATGGCAGGTAAGAAGGTCAATCTTAGGGAACTAGGAGACAAATTAAATGAATATATAACTGAGTTTCGTTATTTAAAATTTGAGTGCACTGGGGAGAAAATAAAGCAATACTGGAGGTAAATTAGAAGCAAGGGCAGGTGAGGAATGGTGCTACAGAACCACATGAGGCCAGAGCAGAGGCAATGATCTCTGCATAAGGAGCGTGGATTACTCAAGAAGGGATGGGAATGACGTGGTGGCGCACACCTGTGATCCCAGCACTTGGAAGGCTGAGGCAGGAGGATGGCCATGAGTTCAAAGCCAGCCTGGACTACATGGTGAGTTGAAGGCCAGCCTGAACTACATACAACTACTACTACCACCACCACCACCACCACCACCACCACCACCACCACCACCCTGTCTCAAGGCCGGGGTGCGGGGGGACTGACAGGCAAATGCATAACTCTTAGCAAGGAAATGACAGCCAGCTTTGCTCTATGCATGAATTACCATGGCTGCATTATGGCTGACAGACTGAAAAGACCCACAATAGGAAGGCCATTCAGAGGTGACTCTAACAGTACAGGGCTAGTGGAGAAACAGCAGAGGGGCAAGAGGAAAGATGGACTAAGGGGTTTTTTGGGGGTTTTTTGGGTTTTTTGTTTTATTGAAAGTTGGTGCTTGTAGCCGAAGGTGATGCTCCACAGTTTTCTTCTGATTTCCTGTTTGGGCCAATGGAGGTGTGATGGACCAACAGTGGAGAAGGAGCAGGCCTGGAAGAGGGCACAATGAGTTTGCACTGGCACGTGGGGTCTGCCTGTAGGACTAACAGTCTAGCTCAAGAGAGGGCTCAGCGCTGTGGCCTGAGATCCTGCAGTCACCACCCTTTGGGACCCTGGTACAGCACATCAGAGAGAAGCCAGAAAGAAGGTACTGAAGGGCAGGAACCCCAAGATGCTGACTAGAGAGGAGAGGGGCCCCCTAAAGGCCCCAAGGAGGAAGACTCAAAGCACATCAGGAAAAATCAGGGTGGGAGAAGCCAGCTAAGTGGAAGGTTTCAAAACCAAGACAGTGGTGGGCATGTTTTTCGAACAATGTTAGCTACAAGTAAATTCTGAAAAAAACTCTTCAATCTTCTAGTCCAGCAGTCATTAAAATGGGGAAACAACTCCAAGAAACATGCAAGAAAATACATCTTTGCCTACTGCATCTTTATCTTGTTTACTTTTTAACTTTTTCTATGTTTTATTTATTTTTATCCTTACTTGCTTTTACATGTGTGACAGTCCTGGTAAGCTGCTAACTTTGCCAGGCTGGGGTCGGACTTTTGATACTTGCCTCAGCCTCCCATAGTGCTGGGATTACAGGTGTGCACCACCACCAGCTCCAGCACCAAATTTTGAGACAGCAAACAGCAAAATATATAGGGTTACGGTGTGGCTCAGAGGTAGAGCACTTGCCTAGCAGGTAGAAGGCCCTGGGTTTGATTCCCAGTACCACAAAAACAACAGAAACCCAAAAACAAAATAGTTTATGAAGGTGTACATTTGCGGGGCATGCTCAAAAGTTTTAAAGACAGATGTGTGACCAATAACCCTAACTGATAAAAAATATATTTAAATACTGTAATGCTGAGCTTGGTGGTGCACACCTGTAATCCCAGCACTATGGGAGGGTGAGCAGGAGGATAAATTTAAGCCCAGACTGGGCAACATGGCAGCTTAGCAAAACTTTGTCTCAAAAATAAGAAGTAAAAAACAGGGCTGAGGTTAGAGCTCAGTGTGAAGGCCCTGGGTTCATCTCCAGGACACCTCCTCCGCCAAAAAGTGATATAGAAATACAAGGTGTAAACCAGGCGTGGTGGCACACACCTGTCATCGTGGCACACACCTGTCATCCCAGCACACTGGGAGACTGAGGAAGGGCTGCAAATTTAAAGCTGGCATGGACAATTTAGTAACTTAGCAAGGTCCTGTGATAAAATTTTTTTTTTTTGGTACTGGGGATCGAACTCGGGTCCTTGTGCTTGTGAGGCAGGTGGAGGAACCACTGAGCTAAATCCCTGGCCCCTTCCTAAGTATATTTTTAATACATGTAAGTTTTGTTTTTTTTTTAAAGGCACTGGGATTGAATCCAGGCCTTTGCACTGAGCTACATCTCCAGCTCTTTTTTTTTTTTTCTTAATTTTGGGAGAGGGATTTGGTAGCTAAATTGTCATAGGCTGGGTTTGAACTTGCAATCCTCCTGCCTCAGCCTCCCAGAGTGCTAGGATTATAAGCATGTGCCACCATGTCCTGCCTTTTCTTTTTTTGGTTCTGGGGATCGAACTCAGGACCTTGCACTTGTAAGGCAGGTGGTGGCACTACTGAGCTAATTCCCTGGCCCTTTTCCCTTAATTCTTAAGAAAACCAGGCCATTTAATATGCGGCAGCTCTCAGAAAAATTAATTTATTACCACTTGTACTATGTCCTTGTACAAAGACAGTATAGTTCAGAGAGATAAAGTATATCCAGAATTGTGTTAAATATTTCAAATAAGGTGCCGTTAAAATAATCATTTAATTATAACGTAAGTATTAATAACATTAAGTATTTAATTATGATGAAATAAATTATTCCCTTGGCTGGGTGTGGTGGTGCATGCTTGTAATCCCAGCACTAGGAAGGCTGAGGCAGGAGGATCGCCATGAGTTTGAAGCCAGCCTGGGCTACAGTGAGTTCAAAGCCAGCCTGAATTTCACAGTGAGACCCTGTCTCTAGTCCCTGAAGTTCTTCTCGTTCTTTGGTAAATTCAGTAATAAGTTATGCATTTAATTTTCTTACCAGAAATACCTTAGCAGGTTACTGACATTTTGAGTCAGCCCTCAACTCACCTGTTACAAATATTATATTTTCAAAGCCAGAGATAACTTTCAAATAATTTCTAGACATATTTAATAGTCATTTGTAAATTATTTTGATAGTTTATTATCACTATACTAGACATATACTGCAGCAAATAAAGTATAAATAAAATATATCTAATTCCCCTTGGTTCCAGGCCTTGCTACCCTCTATGTTAAATCTACAATAATAAAACAGCATAAATTATAGCAAACAAACTTGTCCCCCAAAGTTGAGACCACCATAGTGAGGGAAGAAGTCTACTTTAAATTTCAAAGGAGAAATAAAATACAATTTAGGGGAGTAAATTCCTGAACCTATCC